AACACGAATATTCGTCAGAATCCTCCCGCCTGGTGAACGCGCTCGAGCAACACAAGCTTGCGATATACATTATAATGCCCTAGAATCCCGTCCTAAGGATGCGGGGCGCAGAGGCACCGTTGTTGTAATGATGGTAATTCCGGTCCAGATGGAAAATGGCGTTAGCTGAACTTCATGCCACAGCGCGTTGCGCATGACTTTTCATTTTTCGGGCTGAGGTTGGAAAGGGTGGGGATATTGAGAAAGCAATGAGTCGGCTGCCTGGAGCCCGCGATTACCTTGGTTTAAAAATAGCCCGAAGATTGCGTACGCTTAATGATGGCACCTCCGCATATGCACGTTCTGGGGAAGGCCGGGGTTGGGTTTCGGCTCGGCGTTCTCGACGGCCGCTGGTTTCTAAAAGGGAGAAAATGTCCGAATACTTCCTGCGTCGCGCGACACAGTCCTTGCTGTATAAATTTGCATCGGATTTAAAGGCAATGTTTACGTATTTGAACCGGATGCGTCCTGATATCAGTGGCAACTGATCACGGGCCGGCGAAGAATGCCGTCCGACATAGTCATTGCTGTAAAAATTTGCAATATTTGGGGTGCAAATTTTGAGATTTGGGAGCTGTGATCAGTCGCCACTGATCGCAGGCCGGCGAGGGGTGCCGTCCGTCACCGTCCTTGATGTAAAATTTGCAAAATTTGGATGGTATTGAATTGTGATTATACTTTGGTGGGAAATGATACCTAGTGTCGTACGGCACCCCTCTCAGGCATGTGATCAGCGGCGGCTGATCACACGACGCCAACGGAGAGTTAGAACTAATTAAAATACGTAAATAATGCATTTGCACAGGATACAGAAAGTACAGCAGGAACACGTATACGTTTGTTCAAAAATGATGCAAATATGCAGCAGGGTCATGAAGACAACTGTGTTTCGAGAAGTACGCAAATTTTTTACAGCAATGACGGTGTCGTACGACACCCTTGCCGGCCTGTGATCAGTGGCCACTGATCACAGCTCCCATCCTGCAAAATTTGCCACCAAATTTCGCAAATTTTATACAGCAATGACGATGTCGTACGACACCCCCTGCCGGCCTGTGATCAGTGGCCACTGATCACAGCTCCCCTCTGATCACAGGTCCTAACTCTCAAAATTTGCATCAATATTTTGCAATTTTATACAGCAATGACGGTGTAGTGCGACACCCCCTGCCGGCCTGTGATCAGTGGCCACTGATCACAGGACGCAACCCACTTCACAACCACCTTTTTCAACGTCCACCTCTCATAGACAAACAAGTATTTATAAGTGCCGACAATTCGTGTCCGCCCCAGTCACTGAAAAAGCGTCGCTTTCGTACGACAACAACGCACCTTCACGAATACTGCAGAGAAAATGGGACTACAATATAGAGTATAGGGAAGGAAACCCCAAAAATCTTTTTAAAGACACTTGTTTACATAAACAGATAGAGGGAAGAGGAGATGCAGCCAGAGAGGCGGAGAGGGAGGGATAGAGAGAGAGAGGGATACAAGGAAGAGAGATGGACACAAATATAGAGAGATGGACACACACATAGATAGATGGTCACCATAAAGAATTGGATAAACATATAGAGAGATGGGTATAAACATAGAGAGAGACAGAGACAGACAGAGAGATACAGAGGGAGAGACAGAGCGGTTTATCCAACCATTTGTGCAATCGGTGGTATGCACTCCATTTATTGTCCAGCTAGGCATTATGGAATTCTAAAGGAGGTGATGGTTACTTAGTCAATATCGTGCCACCGTTAATTTTCTCAAACAATTAGACCAATGGCAGTAGGATGACTAATTCTACTTTAGTGGTCCTTGTCTACTTTACGAGCGGTCCTGGGCGAGTAAGGTGATTCCTTACCGGCTCAGGTGCACCTTGTCAATAAACAAACACTTTCATATGTGATCTTCGTGATCCCCTCACACAACTCACACAAAGCCATCAAAAAATGCACACTGCCATCACAAAATGCACATTATCAGTGTGAGAGTTTTTATTTCAAGGTTGACGTTTGAGAGTTTTGAGATGCGTCTCACAAAACCGTCACAAAAGATTCACGAAAATGTGTGATGTTTGAGACGATTTTTGTCATGATCACAAAACGTTCTCAAAAAGTGCTACAATTCAACAAATATTCACAAACCATGTGTGACGAATAAGAAGATGGCGTGAGACGAATGAGATGAAGGCGGCGAAAAGAGCAAAACTCTCACAAATCGTCACACAAATCGTCTCACTTTTTGTGACGCCCTAAATCGTCACAAAACGGAGCACAGGGATATAGTGCCATCCCCCCAATAGTGCCATAGCTAGAGGTATGTCACGCTATAGAACTATATCGTAGGAGGCACTGTATACGATTCCGTATCATAATCGGCCAATCATCATCCACCAGCTTCTCGCACGTGTAAAACATTGCGTTTTGGTCACCACGTGTAATACATTGCATTTTGGTCGCCACGTGTAAAACATTGCATATCGATCCACACGTGTAATACATTGCATTTGGGTCCACACGTGTGATGTGTTTGTCGCGCGACAAGATCTACAAAAGCTGTATGGGTGGCTACCCATACTAGAATCAACCTCTAAAAAATTAACAAAAATTAATCTAGTTCCAGTATGGCTGGCCAGCCATACAGCTTTTGTAAATCTTGTCGCGCGACAGCCATTATATGTTACAGGGGGGTTGCTCAATAGTGCCTACTTTAGTAGTGCTTCCCTCTATATAGTGCTAGTTATTTAGTTGTGTTATACAGGCTTTGTTGTGTTTGTGTTAGCAGTGTGCTTTGTCCCGAAATATATGTATTTGAGCCTCCTTTATATAGTGCCATCCCCCCAATAGTGCCATAGCTAGAGGTGCTTGTCATTCTTGACATTGTGAGCGCGAAAGACGCGAGGAAAGTATATTGAGGGGTGCTGTTGCGGCAATTCTGCCGCGGGGCACCGAGCGACCTGTAATGACGGGAATCCACCCGTATTCTTTTACTCCTCACAAGTCTGCTGCCTCCCCCTTCCTATCTTCGGGGATGGCTTCTTAAGTACACGTTCCCCGGGATGAGTCGGCTATCCCCAACCCTCCCTCCCGTAATTTCCCCTTCGATCCAGCTTCCCCTTGCCCCACCGGTAGCCACCCCCTCGTGCCATTTTCCCTTCGCGCCCTCGGCCGGCGACCTGCGCGGTCTTTCTGCCCCAGCCCGAGCCCCGTGCGGCCTATGGTTTCCCTTCGTCTCCCCGGTGGCTGGCACCCCCAATTCCCCGCGCGTGCTGTCTCGCTCCCTCCTTCCCGCCTTTCGCTTGCCCGTCCTTCGGCGGTATACGGATGCGCTCCGCCCCGTGGTACGCGTGTCCAGCCGCCACCTGGCAACCGAATGCCTCGTAACACTGCTTGAGACACACAGCAATCTCACAAAACTGGGCTTCGTCTCGTTGAAAAATTACGGAAGATGGTTGGTGTGGCATTGAAATTGAATTTTTTCATTCTTTTGAGATTGACCGGTGTTTTGAGTAATCCCACGACCTCAAATTGACCAAGCAAAGTCCCAGGGCACACGTCAGTGCAGATTGCAGCACAAGCAGTTGAGGACACCAAGTACAGCTTTTCGGCTCCAGCTTCAAGTACGTCTTGCCGCCACAATTTTCGATTTCCTGCTTTAGGACGTGCACAGCAGTCAGAAAACAGTCATAGAGGCTTCGTGAGACTGGAGTCTTGAAGCATTCAAGCGTCACCCTAGAAAGGCTGCACTCCAGAATACATTTTGCTTGCTTTGCATCATTCTCACCTCCAATCAATCGTTTCGGGAATAGGCCAGGCTGGTCGCATTAGAAGAAATCCCTCCGTGTGTAATCATGGCTTCTCAGAAGACAGCGTTTGAAGTCTCGAGCCCATTGGCGAGACCCATGAATTCACGCATTTCTGTGCAACTCCAAGAGAGCCCGTGCCAAGCACTTCAGAGTCGCAGGACACAGAAGGTCGCAAGGCAGAATATCGATGCAAATGGAAGTGGACAAAAGCAGTAAGCAATGAGATAACTCCAAACCCCGGCAGACTCATATTTCCCCGGAATTGGCAAATCAAGCCATTAATGATGCTATTACATACTCAGGTGGGGACGTTGTGGTTATGGCTAGAACCTGTGCAAGTGGATTTTGTGATGCATTGCAACAATGCTATGGTTCAGAAGAAATATCAGATGTGTTTATTGCTTGCGGCCCAGGTTTAAACGGCTTAATTGGATTGCAAGTCGCTGTAGAGCTGCAGAAGAGAGGTTATGCACCAGCGGTCTATGCTGCAGAGCAATCTAAGCATGCTAATTTCCGATATGTCTGCGATGAAGCCGGAATCGACTTGCACGACTTCATTCCCAGCACGCTAGAGTTTTATTATGACATCGTTGTAGATGCCTTGCTTGGAACTGGCTTTGATGGGGGGGACATTCGACAACAGTACTGGACTGTTTACGAGATGCTAATCTCAACTCGGCTTGCGATTGTGAGCCTTGATGTACCATCTGGCTGGGATCTTTGGACGGGTCCAAGAAAAATTGATGTGACAGCAGATTCGTTTATCAAACCCGAAGTGCTAGTGTCTTTAGAAGCACCAAAGCTTGGATCAAATGTGTTTGCCGGGGGCTACCACTTTATAGCTGGTCGACATCTTCCTCAAAGCTACTTTTGGAAAAGGGAATCTCTGTTCCGGCTTTTCCCGGCGAGGAGTCAAACTGCGTGCTCATGTCAAGTAACCCGTTTCGCTTCGAAGGTGCTAATGGAGAGACATATGGGCGACCTGGACAATTCAATGCCACGCTCTACACGAAAAACCCTACCCGAGAATGGGTCGATATTGACAAGCACGATGACCTGTGGGACGAACTAGACTAGCATTAGAGTGTGCTCAGTGAGTTTAAGAGTGGAAATCATTGTCAAGTGCTATACAGGGACTCTAGCTGCGAAAAAACGCTGTCTACTGGCCAACTTTTTTGCTTAACGCGACGCGCCACATAATGTAATTCGACGTGGCCTGCGTCAGCGCGGAAGCTGTGACTTTTCCTGTTTGTCGCCATACGAACCCACACGCAACACCGGTGACACAGGCGGAGGCCATGTATCGAACGTTTGGCGGGTCATATCCAAGTTTTGATTTCCCTAAGTGTGCAATGCCGAAGGCACCAGACGCGATGAGTAGTGCAGATATGGACCCGTGGCCTAGGCGTTGCTCCAACATATTCTGAATCATACCCCTAAATATAAGCTCCTCGGTAACGCCGTTCATGAATATGCCTAGGAAAGTGGCGGCTTCTTTGGCCGCGTCTAAACGAGGTGGCGTCTTGACGTCAGCAAACTGGGTTAGGGCGGCAAGTGGAACGGTGATGAGATCAGAGGCAGCACCCACAGCTAGCGCTATCAGCACATCGACTGGGGTTACCTTGAAAGTGTAGCCCAAGTCACGAGCGTGGGCCAGCTTTGAAAAGGGCGTAGAATTGTGAAGCAGTTCACGACTGTCAAAGCTGCGGTGAACAAGCCCCAGGCTGTAACCTTTCCAGTCGGTGATATGTCCGATGACAACAGCTTAAATTCCAGTGGAAGCCAGATGCAAAGAACGGTAATCAGGTCGGCCATTTCGGAGCGAAGCGATGAGTGGTCGTCTGGCTTTGTGAGCTGAAGCAGTGACGGGATGAGGATATACGCTACGTAAATTGCCAATATAGGGACTGCGCGGCGGCGACCGTCCATGATGTTGGGTGCACCGGCGAGGCACACTGGAACCAAAACTAATAGCACCGTCCAAGCTGCTTGCCATCCATGTCCAAATTCGTTGACAAATGTCGAAGAAGAGTAAGCCAGGAATAAAAGAGTCCAGCACATCGAGGCTGAGGACTCCAAAGTATGGGCTCGGCCGCCTGGTTCTGGCATTTTTGGAAAGCCGCGGTCAGTCATTGGCTCCATGCTGAAGGATGGAACGAAGATTCTACTCGAACAGTGAAGTACAACACGGTTGAAGCTGTTTCAAATGTCTCTGCGGTAGCCGGAAAACGCTCTTGTAGAAAGCAGGGTTGCCTTGAGCACTTTGTCGTTGCTCGCTGCGATTTTTGCGTTTCTAAAAGGTTTACTAGGAAGGTACTCTTGCTGGGCCTTGCACGTGTTCGGGTGTGTGTGAACATCCGCACACGTTGCAGACTTACAGTGTATGCAGGCGAAGTAGGGGGGGGTTTTCTCTGGGCAGAACGGACCGGTTGCAGGGGGGGGTCGCTCAATTGTGCCTACTATAGTAGTGCTTCCCTCTATATAGTGCTATGGCTCGCCCTCTGGCACAGGTTATCATAAGCTCACACGTGTATCATCCGGCATGGTTCAGTACGCAGTACAGCTATCCATGCTGTCTTAAAGGAGACCCTGACCAAAGGATGTTGTGTTATGCAGGCTTTGTTGTGTTTGTGTAACAAGTGTGCTTTGTCCCCAAATATATGTATTTGAGCCTCCTTTATATAGTGCCATCCCCCCAACAGTGCCATAGCTAGAGGTATGTCACGCTATAGCACTATATCGTAGGAGGCACTGTATACGATTCCCTATCATAATCGGCCAATCATCATCCACCAGCTTCTCGCACGTGTAAAACATTGCGTTTTGGTCACCACGTGTAATACATTGCATTTTGGTCGCCACGTGTAAAACATTGCATATCGATCCACACGTGTAATACATTGCATTTGGGTCCACACGTGTGATGTGTTTGTCGCGCGACAAGATCTACAAAAGCTGTATGGGTGGCTACCCATACTAGAATCAACCTCTAAAAAATTAACAAAAATTAATCTAGTTCCAGTATGGCTGGCCAGCCATACAGCTTTTGTAAATCTTGTCGCGCGACAAAAATTAATCTAGTTCCAGTATGGCTGGCCAGCCATACAGCTTTTGTAAATCTTGTCGCGCGACAGCCATTATATGTTACAGGGGTCATACGCTCTGGCACAGGTTTTCGTACGCTCACATGTATCATCCGGCATGGTTCAGTACTCAAAGGATGAATTTGTTGTGTTTGTGTTAGCAGTGTGCTTTGTCCCGAAATATATGTATTTGAGCCTCCTTTATATAGTGCCATCCCCCCAATAGTGCCATAGCTAGAGGTGCTTGTCATTCTTGACATTGTGAGCGCGAAAGACGCGAGGAAAGTATATTGAGGGGTGCTGTTGCGGCAATTCTGCCGCGGGGCACCGAGCGACCTGTAATGACGGGAATCCACCCGTATTCTTTTACTCCTCACAAGTCTGCTGCCTCCCCCTTCCTATCTTCGGGGATGGCTTCTTAAGTACACGTTCCCCGGGATGAGTCGGCTATCCCCAACCCTCCCTCCCGTAATTTCCCCTTCGATCCAGCTTCCCCTTGCCCCACCGGTAGCCACCCCCTCGTGCCATTTTCCCTTCGCGCTCTCGGCCGGCGACCTGCGCGGTCTTTCTGCCCCAGCCCGAGCCCCGTGCGGCCTATGGTTTCCCTTCGTCTCCCCGGTGGCTGGCACCCCCAATTCCCCGCGCGTGCTGTCTCGCTCCCTCCTTCCCGCCTTTCGCTTGCCCGTCCTTCGGCGGTATACGGATGCGCTCCGCCCCGTGGTACGCGTGTCCAGCCGCCACCTGGCAACCGAATGCCTCGTAACACTGCTTGAGACACACAGCAATCTCACAAAACTGGGCTTCGTCTCGTTGAAAAATTACGGAAGATGGTTGGTGTGGCATTGAAATTGAATTTTTTCATTCTTTTGAGATTGACCGGTGTTTTGAGTAATCCCACGACCTCAAATTGACCAAGCAAAGTCCCAGGGCACACGTCAGTGCAGATTGCAGCACAAGCAGTTGAGGACACCAAGTACAGCTTTTCGGCTCCAGCTTCAAGTACGTCTTGCCGCCACAATTTTCGATTTCCTGCTTTAGGACGTGCACAGCAGTCAGAAAACAGTCATAGAGGCTTCGTGAGACTGGAGTCTTGAAGCATTCAAGCGTCACCCTAGAAAGGCTGCACTCCAGAATACATTTTGCTTGCTTTGCATCATTCTCACCTCCAATCAATCGTTTCGGGAATAGGCCAGGCTGGTCGCATTAGAAGAAATCCCTCCGTGTGTAATCATGGCTTCTCAGAAGACAGCGTTTGAAGTCTCGAGCCCATTGGCGAGACCCATGAATTCACGCATTTCTGTGCAACTCCAAGAGAGCCCGTGCCAAGCACTTCAGAGTCGCAGGACACAGAAGGTCGCAAGGCAGAATATCGATGCAAATGGAAGTGGACAAAAGCAGTAAGCAATGAGATAACTCCAAACCCCGGCAGACTCATATTTCCCCGGAATTGGCAAATCAAGCCATTAATGATGCTATTACATACTCAGGTGGGGACGTTGTGGTTATGGCTAGAACCTGTGCAAGTGGATTTTGTGATGCATTACAACAATGCTATGGTTCAGAAGAAATATCAGATGTGTTTATTGCTTGCGGCTCAGGTTTAAACGGCTTAATTGGATTGCAAGTCGCTGTAGAGCTGCAGAAGAGAGGTTATGCACCAGCGGTCTATGCTGCAGAGCAATCTAAGCATGCTAATTTCCGATCTGTCTGCGATGAAGCCGGAATCGACTTGCACGACTTCATTCCCAGTACGCTAGAGTTTTATAATGACATCGTTGTAGATGCCTTGCTTGGAACTGGCTTTGATGGGGGGGACATTCGACAACAGTACTGGACTGTTTACGAGATGCTAATCTCAACTCGGCTTGCGATTGTGAGCCTTGATGTACCATCTGGCTGGGATCTTTGGACGGGTCCAAGAAAAATTGATGTGACAGCAGATTCGTTTATCAAACCCGAAGTGCTAGTGTCTTTAGAAGCACCAAAGCTTGGATCAAATGTGTTTGCCGGGGGCTACCACTTTATAGCTGGTCGACATCTTCCTCAAAGCTACTTTTGGAAAAGGGAATCTCTGTTCCGGCTTTTCCCGGCGAGGAGTCAAACTGCGTGCTCATGTCAAGTAACCCGTTTCGCTTCGAAGGTGCTAATGGAGAGACATATGGGCGACCTGGACAATTCAATGCCACGCTCTACACGAAAAACCCTACCCGAGAATGGGTCGATATTGACAAGCACGATGACCTGTGGGACGAACTAGACTAGCATTAGAGTGTGCTCAGTGAGTTTAAGAGTGGAAATCATTGTCAAGTGCTATACAGGGACTCTAGCTGCGAAAAAACGCTGTCTACTGGCCAACTTTTTTGCTTAACGCGACGCGCCACATAATGTAATTCGACGTGGCCTGCGTCAGCGCGGAAGCTGTGACTTTTCCTGTTTGTCGCCATACGAACCCACACGCAACACCGGTGACACAGGCGGAGGCCATGTATCGAACGTTTGGCGGGTCATATCCAAGTTTTGATTTCCCTAAGTGTGCAATGCCGAAGGCACCAGACGCGATGAGTAGTGCAGATATGGACCCGTGGCCTAGGCGTTGCTCCAACATATTCTGAATCATACCCCTAAATATAAGCTCCTCGGTAACGCCGTTCATGAATATGCCTAGGAAAGTGGCGGCTTCTTTGGCCGCGTCTAAACGAGGTGGCGTCTTGACGTCAGCAAACCGGGTTAGGGCGGCAAGTGGAACGGTGATGAGATCAGAGGCAGCACCCACAGCTAGCGCTATCAGCACATCGACTGGGGTTACCTTGAAAGTGTAGCCCAAGTCACGAGCGTGGGCCAGCTTTGAAAAGGGCGTAGAATTGTGAAGCAGTTCACGACTGTCAAAGCTGCGGTGAACAAGCCCCAGGCTGTAACCTTTCCAGTCGGTGATATGTCCGATGACAACAGCTTAAATTCCAGTGGAAGCCAGATGCAAAGAACGGTAATCAGGTCGGCCATTTCGGAGCGAAGCGATGAGTGGTCGTCTGGCTTTGTGAGCTGAAGCAGTGACGGGATGAGGATATACGCTACGTAAATTGCCAATATAGGGACTGCGCGGCGGCGACCGTCCATGATGTTGGGTGCACCGGCGAGGCACACTGGAACCAAAACTAATAGCACCGTCCAAGCTGCTTGCCATCCATGTCCAAATTCGTTGACAAATGTCGAAGAAGAGTAAGCCAGGAATAAAAGAGTCCAGCACATCGAGGCTGAGGACTCCAAAGTATGGGCTCGGCCGCCTGGTTCTGGCATTTTTGGAAAGCCGCGGTCAGTCATTGGCTCCATGCTGAAGGATGGAACGAAGATTCTACTCGAACAGTGAAGTACAACACGGTTGAAGCTGTTTCAAATGTCTCTGCGGTAGCCGGAAACCGCTCTTGTAGAAAGCAGGGTTGCCTTGAGCACTTTGTCGTTGCTCGCTGCGATTTTTGCGTTTCTAAAAGGTTTACTAGGAAGGTACTCTTGCTGGGCCTTGCACGTGTTCGGGTGTGTGTGAACATCCGCACACGTTGCAGACTTACAGTGTATGCAGGCGAAGTAGGGGGGGGTTTTCTCTGGGCAGAACGGACCGGTTGCAGGGGGGGGTCGCTCAATTGTGCCTACTATAGTAGTGCTTCCCTCTATATAGTGCTATGGCTCGCCCTCTGGCACAGGTTATCATAAGCTCACACGTGTATCATCCGGCATGGTTCAGTACGCAGTACAGCTATCCATGCTGTCTTAAAGGAGACCCTGACCAAAGGATGTTGTGTTATGCAGGCTTTGTTGTGTTTGTGTTACAAGTGTGCTTTGTCCCCAAATATATGTATTTGAGCCTCCTTATATAGTGCCATCCCCCCAATAGTGCCATAGCTAGAGGTATGTCACGCTATAGCACTATATCGTAGGAGGCACTGTATACGATTCCGTATCATAATCGGCCAATCATCATCCACCAGCTTCTCGCACGTGTAAAACATTGCGTTTTGGTCACCACGTGTAATACATTGCATTTTGGTCGCCACGTGTAAAACATTGCATATCGATCCACACGTGTAATACATTGCATTTGGGTCCACACGTGTGATGTGTTTGTCGCGCGACAAGATCTACAAAAGCTGTATGGGTGGCCACCCATACTAGAATCAACCTCTAAAACATTAACAAAAATTAATCTAGTTCCAGTATGGCTGGCCAGCCATACAGCTTTTGTAAATCTTGTCGCGCGACAGCCATTACATATTACAGGGTCG